ATTACTGAATAATATGTAATGTAGGTATATCTATGTCAAATAAGATATAACATAACTTTTGAACTTGATAAAAATATTACAAAATAAAAACTTTTTAACAAAAAAATAAAAACCGACTTCAAACAAAGTACCAAAAAGTAAAAAATAACTGATTGGTAGTTTTCATTTACTATACATACCTAATCAAATATTTTCGAAGTCGGTGTGCTTTGGCTAAGTAATTAAAGTCTACCTATTAAATACATACCTAATCAAATATTTTCGAAATCGGTGCCAGCCTCTACAAAGCAAAGCACACCGACTTCGAAAATATTTGATTAGGTATGTATAGTAAATGAAAACTACCAATCAGTTATTTTTTACTTTTTAGTACTTTGTTTGAAGTCGGTTTTTATTTTTTTGTTAAAAAGTTTTTATTTTTCCCTTTTTAGTGTAGACAGTAGTAGCAAAGTAAGAATTCTAAAGTGTTAGGCTTGTCAAACCAAACAAAATAAGCCCAAACTCAAAGTATCTACTATTAGTCGTTGAAGAGTTCCACCTATCCACCTACTGGCCTTGCCATCAGATCAGGTCAACAATACCGAACCACTGTACTATCAATGGAAATAGAAGCACTTGCAAAGTTTCAAGTCAATATGACAATTAGAAGTAGGTTAAATTTATTATTAGCTATTTTTCCACCCTTAGGGGTGGTATTTTTTTTTAAATTTAAATGGGACCAATCTGGAAGTATACCCTTTCAAACAAAACAAAAATTGTCCAAATCGGTTAATAAATGACGAAGTTCTGAGGTAACAAAGATAAAAAAAAACTAAAAAAAAATACAGTCGAATTGAGAACCTCCTCCTTTTTGAAGTCGGTTGAAAAATTAACCTTATAATTATTCTTTTCCTGATATTCTATATTCATCTCATTCTGTCGTAGGTTACTTTTCTGAAGTTTCACGCACTTTTTATATTTTATTTGGTTTATAATCTTTTGTAAACAAATAAACACGCCATGATTACGTAATTCAAAGAAAACTCACGCGCAAGTGACAATCAATAGCTGTTTTTTTTTCTTATAGTTTTGATTACGCTATTCCTTTCACATCCTTTGGCAGTGTGATGATTTAAATAAAATACTATTTTCTACATAACGTATCTATATTATAAAACATCGATGTAGCCACCGCAAAATTTTTAAATTTTTAGTAATTTTACTACGGAATTTTTCAGCGTTTTAAATGATAAACTTACCAACGGAATTCCTACAATAAAGCTTTAATAGCTTTCGAGTAAATTGACTATGACCTAAGAACAGATAAACGGATGAACATGACGAAATTATAAGGGTTCGGATAGCCTTCTTTCGCTACAGAACCCCAAAAACAACAGTATACAAACATTACAAAAATTGTAAAGAAAGACGAAATAATAATAGACGAAAGGTATTTGTAAAGGTTAACCTGTCACTAAAAATATTTCTTAAGACCCTGAAAGAAATCTTTCAACACTAAGTCGGAAAAATTGGCATTGTTTATGAACACAGGAAACCAAGACTAATAGGAACACAGTACAAGCATCAATCAAGAAACAAGGAAAACAACTTGTACACTATATTATCTACCAGGTTGATGGGATAGAAAAGCTTATAAAAAGATTTTATTACAATTCTAGTTTATATAAAATTAGCGACTCACCTTCGTTTCGCTCGGATTTGTCCCTAGTTTTAACGTTTAGCATAGATTTCTCAGAATGATATTTTCTCGCAGTAAAAAGTATCCCGTATGTTGACCCGCATAACCAGCTATCGTCATACTAAAATTTCATCAAAATCTGTCCAGTGGTTTTCTTTGCGATGCGTTTCCAGACAGATAGACAGACAAAAATTCTAAAAATAATAGACTCAGATAGATCAGAGGATCGAAGTAAATATCGCTGTAATTTTATTCGTCTGACCTCTGAATTGACAATAAGTTATAGATAGCACAATATTCAACACGAATATTCCATTTAAATTTAAAGTATTTTTAGTGCAATGACCAAAAATAAGTAAAAGTTTATCGGTTGTTATAAACACATGTTCAACATAAAAATTGTTGTTATGTTTTGTACAAGTTACTGAATAAACATTGTATATAAAATATATATTATATAGAAAAATATATCAATTATTAAAACATACCTTTTATAATACCATTAAACAAATATTATTAATATTTTTCATTTTCCTTTTGTTTAAACATGGAGTGACTATTTACTTTCCGTTGTTCAATGGACACTGGTTGTCGGCGACGGAAAACTTATCTTCGAGTAACGTGTGTATTAATATAGGGACAATGTCATTTTAGCGTATTATGAATAATTGTTGTAAATATGAAATCTCATTCTTATTAGATTTATTATGTTAATTTAAGTTCTAATTAGTGTAATAAGGTTAGTTTAGAGTATTTTTTGCTTATTTGACTCATATAAGACTATTTAACATTAATTTGAAAGGAATAGGTACGTAAGTAAAATGTTAGCATATAATTACGTAACTTGAAAATGAGATTTTTTGTTTCTTGCAATAGCATAATAGTTTATGTTTTAAATAATAGATTTTATTATAAAACTTATAATAAAACAAGAATTAGGTCGATAGGACTATCCGTTCAAAAGTTATAAGGGAAAATGTATAGTAAAAATGTAGCAACCTAGAAATTTAGATATTTTTGTTTTAAGACTTTTTTAATTAATTATTATATATTGAATATTATGTTTTAATATTGTATAATAGTATGTAAGGCATGTAAATAAATAAATATGTGTAAGGTGTTTTACTGAAAACATAAAATAAAAGGACTCTCAAGGTTTCGGTTTAGGGAAATTTTATTCGAAAAATGAGCTCAAAGTACGCGGCTCTCTGTAAGGTATTAACGGGCCAAATAAAAGGCGAGCCATTTCTCGATTCGAGTCAGTCGCAAGACAGCCACCGAAGAGGCAACAACTAAAAGGAAAAGGAAGAACCGAAACCAAGAGAGAAAAAAGGAAAAATTGTGTTTTTATTTCATCGCCTCTAAGTATAGTCTCCTGTCAACGAAGAAACCCTAGTGGATCGGGACCCAAGCTACGCATTCAGGGGTGCGTGGTGGCGTACATTACCAGCGAACGGACATACTGCCGTGTACGCCAAGAACGTCTGGGAGATTGTCCCAGGTCGACCTCCGGGTACTAGACATACCCTGGTTCTGGTCGTCCGAAACAGTTGGTCCTTCGAGCCGGATCCCTGCTAGAAGAAGTTCAGAAGAAACAGAAGATTGCGTTCAAGATGCCGGTAACCAGGTCGCAGAAGGATGCCCCTCACGTCCCGGGTCCCGTCCTTCAGATAGGGACGCGACAGATGGAACGTCGGGATCAGAAGGGGTCACGTCAGCGTCGGCGTCATCGGGAACTGCAACTACATCGAACACTTCTTCGGGTACCACGACCACGGAGGGCACCACAGTGACGGAGACTACGGTTACGACTGCAACTACGGCGGCGTCTATGGAAGGCAACAAAGAAGATGCTGCACAGAGGATGACCAGGAAGAGCCAAGAAGATGTACCTGGAAAGGATGTTCAAGGCTCCTCCAAGACCCTGAAACCGATGGGGGTCAGTCGTCGCGCCAGGTCCACGAAGACCACGAGTTCCTCGGCCAGAAGACGCGAGCTAGAAGCAAAGGAAGAGTTGGCACGCCTGGAGTTGAAGCAAGCACAGGCTGAAACTAAGCTAGCCCGTGTCAGATTGGAGATGGCACAGTGTGAAGAAGAGGACTCCGTGGATGAAGACCTGGAAGACAGAACAGCACAGGTGCAGAACTGGATCGAGACGTCTGTGCTGGAGGATGGCAACAAAGTTCAACCAGAGATGCGAGGTCCACACCCCTTGGAAGAGCCACAGAAGATGAAGCCTGAAGAGAACTCCTCAACGAGAGGAGCTACGATTGAAATTCAAGCACTGACGGCAGCATTGAAGGAAGCTCTTACCACGCGAGGACCAGCAGGACAGCCAACCTACATTCACGAGTTACCCTACTTCGACGGCAACAGCAGCGAGTGGATGGCCTTCAAGGTTGTCTATGAAGATACAGCACCGATGTTCAACAACGTCCAGAATATGGCTCGGCTAAGAAGAGCACTGAAGGGCAACGCAAGAGAAGCTATCAAGAGTCTGCTGTACTCCGAAGCCTCTCCGATGGAAGTGATTCAAGCCCTCAGAAGAAGATATGGAAGACCAGATGCACTGGTGCTGGCAGAGTTGGACAAGGTCAAAACGTTGCCAAAGATTTCTGAAAACCCAAGGGACATATGCCTCTTCGCGAGCCAGATCAGCAACAGCGTAGCGGCAATAAAAGGATTGAAGAAACCACAGTACCTGCATTCACCTGAGATGGTGAAACAAATTATTGAGAAGATGCCTACGATCCTCAAGTTCCGATGGTACGACTTCATTGAAACAACAGAAGAAGGCGAGTTCTCCGACCTAACACTGGTGTCCAAGTTCCTGAACAGAGAAGCAGACAAGTGTGGAGCCTATGCATCAACAGAAGAGAAGAGCGGGTTCAGACGGACTCATCGACAAGCAACGCATTCAACTAAGGAAAAGGACTTCAAAGAAAAGGTTTCAAGATCAGAGAAGACTTGCCCCATGTGTGAGGGTGAACACTTCCTCGTCGGGTGTCAGAAGTTCCTGAAGGCGTCTGTGCAAGATCGATGGGCAATAGTGAAGAAAAGCCGCGTTTGCTTCAAGTGTTTACAAGGGACACATCGGAAGGAGAGCTGCAAGAAGCCGTCGTGCAAGGAATGCAAGAGGTGGCATCATCATCTGCTGCACGTCGAGACAGAGAAAAGTTCCTCGGAAGAACAGAAGAACAAACCACAAGAAGTGGCGAGCATCATGGCATCGGTGAATGCGGTCAACAACGCAAGGGCATACCTGAAGATAATTCCGATAGAAATCTTCGGGTCAAAAGGATCAAAGAAGATATTGGCCCTCATGGATGAAGGGTCAACAGTGTCGCTGCTAGACCAGAAGGTAGCAGAAGAAATCGGCGCTCAAGGAAGAAAGGAGGAACTGGTCATCGAGACTGTTGGAGGCAGGCTGATAAGGAAGGAAGACTCTCAGATGCTGGACCTTACGGTGAAGGGGATTCATCAGAAGACCAAGAAGACCTTGAGAAGAGTCCGGACCATCGACGAGTTGAAGCTTGCACCGCAGTTCGAAGAAAAGAAAAGGATAGAAGAGTGTCAACACTTGAAGAAGATTGCTGACTCTCTATATTATAAGGGGGAGTCACCACAGCTGCTCATCGGTCAAGACAACTGGGAGCTAATCGTGACTCAAGAAGTAAGAAGAGGGAAACCAGGACAACCAGTCGCTTCAAGAACAGGACTTGGATGGGTGCTCCACGGGTCAGACACTGGAGGCGCGAAAGTGATGCACTTCTTAAACACGTGTCTACATGTCAGCACGCCAGAAGAAGAGATGCATCAAGCCATCAAGGATCACTTCGCAATCGAAGCACTTGGAGTACTACCAAGAAGACCCACTACGGATTCAGAAGGAAGAGCACTCACCATCCTAGAGAAGACCTGCAGAAGACTAGAAGATGGTCGATTTGAAGCTGGACTTCTATGGAAAAATGAAGATGAACAGATGCCTGAAAGCTACACGTCTGCCAAGAACCGATTGTTCAACATTGAAAAGAAGATAGACAAAGACCCTCAGCTGAAGGCAGAATACAATAAGCAGATCCAGCATCTAATCGACAGCAAGTATGCAGAAGAAGCACCTGGTGGACAAGAAGATTCAAAGAAGACATGGTACCTCCCTCATTTCTCCGTGGTACATCCATTGAAGAAGAAAATAAGGATCGTCTTCGACGCTGCAGCCAAGTCTAAAGGGAGAAGCCTCAACGACGCTTTACTACCGGGACCAGACCTACTGCAATCGCTCTTCGGGGTATTACTGAGGTTCCGGCAAGGCCCGTTTGCAGTGGCAGCCGACATAAAGGAAATGTTCCTGCAAGTTCGCATCCGGCCAGAAGATAGAAACAGCTTGAAGTTCCTGTGGCGAGGGGATCGTCGTGACGTAGCACCGAAGGAGTACAGAATGACATCAGTCATCTTCGGCGCGACATCATCTCCTAGCACAGCGATCTACGTGAAGAACCGGAACGCGGCGGACTACAAGAAGCAGTACCCAGAGGCAGCAAAGGCAATCGAGCTGAACCATTACATGGATGACTACCTGCACAGCTTCCATTCAGAAGAGGACTTCAAGAGAATTACAGCGCAGGTGGACTTCATTCACAAAAAGGCGGGCTTCGAACTCCGAGGATGGGCGTCAAACCACTCCGACCTGCTGCAAGACGTGAAGACTGAGTCAGTTGAGAAGACAGAGGTGGACCTTGGTGAGAAGGAAGAGAAGACACTGGGACTACGCTGGTTTACAGAAAGGGACTCCATAGGCTTTAGGGCGAACCTTCGGAACACGCCAGATGAAGTGGCACAAGGACTCAAGGTACCTACGAAGAGAGAAGTCACCAGCGCCGTGATGTCGACCTTCGATCCACTAGGGCTAGCATCACCAATTCTCATCCAAGGCAAAAGGCTGCTCCAGAACATATGGCGAAGTGGCGTCGGTTGGGATGAAGAGATAGAAGAAAAGGAGTACGAGTCATGGAAGACTTACCTGGAGAAGATGAAGCTGCTCCAAGACCTTTAGATCCCGAGATGTCTGGCACCACGTCGCACCGAGGGGGAGCTGCACACGTTCACGGATGCAAGCGAAATGGCGTATGCAGCTACGGTATATTGGAGAACTGAAAATCAAAATGGGACTTATGACGTCAGCTTAGTAGCAGCAAAAGTAAGAGTCGCTCCGTTGAAGCCGGTGTCAATCCCGAGACTCGAGCTGCAAGCGGCCCTCCTAGGAAGCAGATTGGCACACTCGGTCGAGGAAGAAATGGATCTGAAAATAGAAAAGAAGACGTTTTGGACAGACTCCAGTATCGTGCTATCATGGATCAAGACGGACCCGAGAACCTTCAAGACATTCGTGGCTCATCGCTTGGCGGAGATAGAAGATCTCACAAAACCACAGGACTGGAGATGGGTACCGACGGCGCAGAACCCTGCAGATGATGCAACACGTGACGTACCAGAACACTTCGACTGCCAACACCGATGGTACACCGGACCAGGGTTTCTAAGAAGAGATGAAGTTCACTGGCCTGCGGCAAGAACATTCAAGAAAGAAACCACTGGCGAAGAAAAGGCAGCGGACATCGTAGCGACTGCAGGCAGCTCCTATCCATCACCAGATCCCGAAAAGTTCTCGTCGTGGAAAAGACTTTGGCGAGCTACAGCAAGAGTACTGCAGTTCATACAACTCTGCAGAAGAAAGGAAAAGGTCCACGCCAGCAAAGAAGATCCTACCTGGAAAACTACAAAAAGGAATAAGAAAATTGTTGAGAAGCGACATCTGTCTTCAAAAACGTCAGAAAGGAAATACATACCATTGGAAACAAGTCTACTAGAGCAAGCTGAAACGCTGTTGTTAAGAAGAAGTCAAGAGAAATGCTTCAAAGAGGACATCAGGTGCCTACAGCAAGGAAAACAATTAGAGGGCAGCAGCAAGTTGAAAAGGCTCGACGTAGTGCTAGAAGAAGGTCTCCTGCGACTGAAAGGAAGAATCGACGCGATACGAGGGGTTACCAGAGACTACAAACGACCCATCGTACTCGACAGCAAGGACAAGACAACACTTCTCATCATAGAAGAATTTCACTGCCGCTTCAATCACGGGAATCACGCGACCGTAATGAACGAAGTAAGACAACGCTTCTGGGTGCTAGGACTGAGGTCAGCGATCAAGACCATTCAACATCAATGCCAGTGGTGCAAAACAAGAAAGGCAAGACCTCAAGAACTACCAGTGGGCAACTTACCTGCTGAGAGGCTGATGCACGGAAACCCTCCATTTACGTGCACGGGAATAGATTACTTCGGCCCTATGACGATCACCGTAGCAAGACGCCATGAGAAGAGATGGGGTGCTCTATTCACATGCTTAACAACACGAGCTGTACACATTGAGCTCACTCCTTCACTCTCCACTGACAGCATGATCATGGCACTACGACGATTCGCCGCGAGAAGGGGAATGCCAAAGATAATCTACACCGACAATGGCACTAACTTCGTTGGCGCCAACAAAGAACTCAAAGAAGCACTAGACACCATGAAGCAAGAAGACCTTATTTCGGAAGCGGAGAAGATCGGCGTGCAGTGGAAGTTCATACCTCCTGGTGCACCAAACATGGGAGGTGCATGGGAGCGTCTGGTGCGATCCATTAAAACCGCACTGGACGCCACGCTCAACGAAAGGCAACCACGAGAGGAGGTACTTCATACCCTCCTGTTAGAGGCCGAGCACATAGTCAACTCTCGGCCCCTCACCCACCTCTCCGAGAACCCTGAAGAAGAAGCACTTACACCGAACCACTTTCTCATCGGGCGATCATGTGGCGCAGCAAGAATCGGCAGCTTCGAGGACAACGAGCTTGTGGGCAGAAACACCTGGAAGGCTACGCAGCGACTTGCCGATCACTTCTGGCAACGTTGGCTGAGAGAGTATTTGCCCACTCTACTACCAAGGAAGACCAAAGGAAGAGTCAGCGCCACAGATTTGCAAGTCGGAGACATCGTACTGATCGTCGATCACAGCCTACCAAGATGCATCTGGCCACGCGGAAGAATCCTGCATGTGTATCCTGGACCAGACGGGCGGACCAGAGTCGTCGACGTCGAGACCAGAGGAGGTGTTCTACGGAGGCCCAGTTCGAGAGTGGTGCTGTTGGTGCCGGGAGCGTCGCCGAGTCCAGGAGTTGGTGCAAAGCACGAGGGGGAGAATGTCGGCGACGGAAAACTTATCTTCGAGTAACGTGTGTATTAATATAGGGACAATGTCATTTTAGCGTATTATGAATAATTGTTGTAAATATGAAATCTCATTCTTATTAGATTTATTATGTTAATTTAAGTTCTAATTAGTGTAATAAGGTTAGTTTAGAGTATTTTTTGCTTATTTGACTCATATAAGACTATTTAACATTAATTTGAAAGGAATAGGTACGTAAGTAAAATGTTAGCATATAATTACGTAACTTGAAAATGAGATTTTTTGTTTCTTGCAATAGCATAATAGTTTATGTTTTAAATAATAGATTTTATTATAAAACTTATAATAAAACAAGAATTAGGTCGATAGGACTATCCGTTCAAAAGTTATAAGGGAAAATGTATAGTAAAAATGTAGCAACCTAGAAATTTAGATATTTTTGTTTTAAGACTTTTTTAATTAATTATTATATATTGAATATTATGTTTTAATATTGTATAATAGTATGTAAGGCATGTAAATAAATAAATATGTGTAAGGTGTTTTACTGAAAACATAAAATAAAAGGACTCTCAAGGTTTCGGTTTAGGGAAATTTTATTCGAAAAATGAGCTCAAAGTACGCGGCTCTCTGTAAGGTATTAACGGGCCAAATAAAAGGCGAGCCATTTCTCGATTCGAGTCAGTCGCAAGACAGCCACCGAAGAGGCAACAACTAAAAGGAAAAGGAAGAACCGAAACCAAGAGAGAAAAAAGGAAAAATTGTGTTTTTATTTCATCGCCTCTAAGTATAGTCTCCTGTCAACGAAGAAACCCTAGTGGATCGGGACCCAAGCTACGCATTCAGGGGTGCGTGGTGGCGTACATTACCAGCGAACGGACATACTGCCGTGTACGCCAAGAACGTCTGGGAGATTGTCCCAGGTCGACCTCCGGGTACTAGACATACCCTGGTTCTGGTCGTCCGAAACACTGGTGTTTCTTAAGCGACGAGTGATAGATGAGATAGATGACTAATTTCAATAATAATATACAGTATGTTAGGCAGTGGTAGCCCAGTGGTAAGGCGCTCGCTTGGGAAACCGAGTGAAGCGGGTTCGAATCCCGGGTCTCGCACCTCTGATATTTTCACGTGCGAATCATTTCTAACTTGTCTTACGGTAAAGGAAAACATCGTGAGGAAACCTGCATGTCTGAGAGAACCTAGCAAGTTTTCGAAAGACATGTGAAGTCCGCCAACCTGCACTTGGCCAGCGTGGTGGAGTATGGCCTGACCCCTCAAGTATTGAAGGGAGGCCCGTGCCCAGCAGTGGGACGTTAAAAAGGGCTGAATACATACATTATGTTTAGTAAATATATAATATTATACTCGTATACTACAAACCAATTTAATTTAGCATACTAAATAGTAGTGTTATTTAACTAGACGTCTTGAATTTAAAATCCATACAATAAATAAAATAGGATAGAATTTATTACTGTGTCCTTACATGTGCAAAGCTTTTCCACCTAATGTAAACTTATATCATTTTGTGCGCTATTAGCAATTCTGTCCATACGCTGATATTCAACTAAACGTGCGGTATCCATGTAGCGACCGAGGACGTGTGAAACGTCTACGCTCGTGTAAATTGCCGCCATTTATAGGAAAACCGTGTGTATTTGAAAAGCACGATGAGTTATATAGCTTGGGTGACGAAATTTTTTGCTAACCTAAAAAAAAATAGAATGTTATTTAAGAACTTAATTGGTATTACTAGGATTTAAAAAAATGTGCTAAAACATATTTTAATTTATTTCAACTTCCTTTAGGTGCTTTGATTATGCATTAATCTCGTGTGGTCTCAGCTGGACTGCGATAATCCGTCGAATTATAAATTCACCCAGTGGGAATATCACACACGTGACTAATAGAACTTTTAATGTAAGCGTACTAAGTATTTTATGGAAGAACATTTTAAATACTAGTAAGTTATTCTTCAATGGCTATAGCTATCTGTCGTTGCACAGCTGTGTTTGGGAGATACAGGTATCTAATGTACGAGTATCTTGCTAACAAGATCTCATTGTTGGCAGCGTGCCACAATACAGTGTAGTCAGCATCGACCAACTAGATTGTAATGAAAGCTGAAACTGATGCCCCATAGCACATTAATTTGATTTATTATTTTGAGTTTTTTCTTTGAAATACATGAATTTTATTAATAACTACACGTGAGTATATAATATATTTATCACAATCATGGAAGTCGTATGTATATCACTCACAATATTATATTGGAGATATACTAACTATATATATATATATATATATATATATATATATATATATATATATTTAGTATATCATGAAAATAGTTCAATCTTTATTATTTATTAAATATTATATTAATTTTACATCTCACTAATATAAATATAAATGTGAAAGTTTAGATGGATGTTTGGATGTTTGTTACTCATCATACCAAAACGACTGTACGGATTTGGATGAAATTTGGCACAGAGATAATTTATAGTCTGAAATAGCACATAGATTACTTACACATAGAGCTCCCGTTTACCCCTATAGGGATAGAATTTTCAAATATCCGTTTTTAGTGGATGTCTACGTATATAATACGTGTACACATAATAACTACCAGTGTGGCAAATTTCAACCAAATCTGTTCAGCGGTTTGAGCTAAGCGTTTATAGATCAGTCAGTCAGTCAGTAACGATATCCTTTAAAATATGCAGGCTCTACTTCTTTTATCATCCTACCAGGATAATGGCAATAGTTGTGTATATTATTCTTTTAATGCAAAATTGATAAAGGGCATTAAAAGGTCACACTTCTGCCAAAATAATTCGCTTACCAAAGTTTGGGCTTAATTCGAATTGGGCTTAGGAAGAGCAAACAATATTATCAACTATTCCTAACTCCAACAACCGTTGTTAACATTGATGCCATTAATCTATCAAATGTTCATTTAGTTACAAAGTTTGATCTGATGGATAGTCTCAAGACCGATGTGAACCAAAAATGTGTAGAAAATAGAAAGAAAAGAAATAGAAAAAAAGCAAGTGTGATGGATGTTTTTTCTGTTTTATATAATGACGTATTTTAATGGGAATTATAATTATTACTATATCAGGATGAATAAAAGCGTTGCTGAAGCAAAAAAATAGCCTTGTACGAATTTAGAAATTTAGAACGAGAGAAATGTATGTATGTATGTATGTATGTATGTATGTATGTATTTATGTATATCTGTATTTAGGATATGCAATTGTGTGTAGTAAGTACACCGCCTACCATTTCGTATAATTTCTCCTACGCCCTAAGGTTGCTTGGAAGAGATCGCTTATAGCGATAAGGCCGCCTGCTGTGCATCATCTATTGTTTATATCTTCTTTTTGTATATTTATTTGTGGTGTACAATAACGCATCTATCTATCTATCTACTTGCCTTTGAAGTTCTAAATGCCATGCATGCTATTGAACGATGCAAAAATTATGGATGATACTAATAGATAAAAGCTAGATGAAGCAAAAAAAATACAATTATCTGATACTTTAACAGATTTAATAAAAATTTTATAATTTACTACTAAATGAAATTTTTCAAAAAGTAATATTATTTTTATCAATCTTCAATCTATCTAGTTAGAAAGTTGGATTATATCCAACACTACTCGTTACGGAGTAACCAAAAGTGTGCAAAAAATGTAATAATATATGAAATGATAGTTCTCAGTGCAAAAAATCTTTGGATATTTTTCCATTTTTAATTTCCGTTATAAATATAAAATATTTCTTTTATACTTCTCAAGTCCATATTATTAATATTTTTTGTAGTATCGATGATTTCAAAGAGCTTTAGATACCTACCCCATACTGGATTTGGGCTATGATCCAAAAATAACTGATAAATTATAACTAGAATTTTAATTTATGATAGTTTAATAAGAAAAATTAAGCTTTGTTTTGTAATAACAATGAAAAGCAAACAATAGAAATCTTGGTTCTTGGCCAAACAACTCTTTCGTTGTTAAGATGAAAGCCATTGTGCTTAAATACCTACACTTCACTATGATTATATATCTATTGTAAGATAGTTGAATAGGGTGAAAGTTATTTAATAAGTACTAATTAAACAGTAAATACTAATATTATTGACACAATCAACAGTAACATAAGTAAAGTAATATATTTTTATATAAGACGATTGTAACAATTACTTACGTCTAGCTATACCTATTTTATTATCTTTATCATAAGCATGATATTATTATTACCACTGCCTCGGTGGTGTAGTGGCTAGCATGTACGGCTGCACACCCGGAGGTCCTGGGTTCGAGTCCCGGGTCGGGCCAAGTTTAGTTATTGAGTCTTCTTGTATAGTAAGTCAGTAACAGCCCGGAGTTCGGAAGTTGGCGGTGTCTCACCCCCGTGCATCGGAGAGCACGTAAAGCCGTCGGTCCTGTGCCTTAACTCTCACCGATCGTGTCGAGTGGTCGTTCCACCGGAGTATGAGAGTGATAGGAATAGAGAGTGCACTTGTGTCTATGCGTACACTTGTGCACTATAATATCAACTGCGCAGTTGGCTAATCTCAATCAGATTGGCCTTCATAGCCGGAATCGGCTAGGAGAACATCATCATTATTATTACCATAGATTATATTATGTATGTACAAGAAGTATAAATTATTCAAAAAATTATAATTCAAAAAAAAATTTTTTAATAAACATGTATAATAGATATAAAATGGAATAGATATCAAATATATACAGTGCAATTCTAAAGTTTTACGATGCTGATGAATAGTTACAACAAAAAGTGCTTAAAAGTTTATTTTTATCTGTTTAGTGGATCAGAAATATAAGCATTAAGCAGTTTGAGTACATTTTAAACTTTAACGCGCTTTTATACAAAGTGACATAGGTATTTAGGTTATAAATGCAAATATGGGATATATATTAGAGTATTTTTGCATAGGTTAGGCTAATTTAAAATATAAAAAAATGCATTATAATATATTCATTGAATATTTAATT